ACTCAGCCCTGGAATAAGCAGACACAATTCCCATTAACTTAAATGAAAGCTGCACTTTGTTAGTCCAACACATCCAAGTCTCCCACATGGCAGTGCACTCTGCCAAATCCAGAAAATAGGGGTGGGAGCAGCTTGCTGACAATTGTAGAAAACTTTCCTAGGCAGCAGAATGGCACTGCCAAAATACCATCTAACCTTCCGGTCCTTAATTCAGCACAGTGATTTAACTGGCCTCGTTATCTGTTAAGGGGGAACACATTGCTAGGACTCCAAGCAAACATAAGACCATAAAACAGATGTTATCACATTTCATTGTTTTTTCAAACCATTTCTGATAGGAACAGAAAAACATTGGGAAAGGTTCATTATTATCTGCATACTAGGACTGTATAACACACTAGGGCTGTATAACATATGCACCCCATCCTGCACACCATATGCACATACATCTCTTATTAGGCTCCTTGAATTTTAATGCTATATAAATGACAGCTCATATGGTGTGTGAGAGAGAGAGAAACATGGACCCTCTTCACAACAGACTCAGAAGTTGACTTGTATATTTGAAGTTTGTAGCAAGTGAGATGGCAGAAATGGATGGATCTAGACTGTTCTCAGTGGTAGCAGATGACAGAACAAGGAGTAATGGTCTCAAGTTGCAGTGCGGGAGGGTTAGGTTGGATATTAGGAAGAACTTTTTCACTAGGAGGGTGGTGAAGCACTGGAATGCGTTACCTAGGGAGGTGGTGGAATCTCCTTCCTTTGAGGTTTTTAAGGTCAGGCTTGACAAACCCCTGGCTGGGATGATTTAGTTGGGGATTGGTCCTGCTTTGAGCAGGACTAGATGACCTCCTGACATCCCTTCCAACCCTGATATTCTATGATTCTATGAAATGCTGGTACTGGGGAACACGGTAATACCCTGTGTGCTGTTTATATATGGCAGTCACAGTTCATGCCATAAATATTTCCAGGACTATTCTTAAAATAACTGCTTGATGTTTAAAAATATTATTCCATTTTTCATCCAATACAGTTTGTAATAAAGAATTGAGTGACAACAGTTGTAGATATTTATTTGTACGCCCTATTTTTTACAAAAAATGGGATATTTGTAAACAGAGAGCTGGATTCCGCAAACACAAGTTCAGGTGAATAACACTTAATCATGTTATTAACACCACCCTCCTATTTTGCCACAGAATTCCAGTTTGGTTAAATTAGTTTTGTGTCTGCAAGCAGATCTTACTCAGTAGCAATCTACCTGTACCTTTTGGATGCATCATACCTTGAAATCTGTAGAATGACTCATGTGAGTTAGGACTAATTGTATGAGTGTCTGTGTCAAGGTTCCTTCCCCACTCTGAACTCTAGGGTACAGATGTGGGGATCTGCATGAAAGACCCCCTAAGCTTATTCTTACAAGCTTAGGTTAAAAACTTCCCCAAAGTACAAACTTTGCCTTGTCCTTGAACAGTATGCTGCCACCACCAAGCGTTTTAAACAAAGAACAGGGAAAGAGACCACTTGGAGACATCTTCCCCCAAAATATCCCCCCCCAAGCCCTACATCCTCTTTCCTGGGGAAGGCTTGATAAGAATCCTCACCAATTGGTACAGGTGAACACAGACCCAAACCCTCGGATCTTAAGAACAATGAAAAAGCAATCAGGTTCTTAAAAGAAGAATTTTAATTAAAGAAAAGGTAAAAAACCACCTCTATAAAATCTGGATGGTAAATACCTTCCAGGGTAATCAGATTCAAAACATAGAGAATCCCTCTCAGTAAAACCTTAAGTTACAAAAAGACACAAAAACAGGAATACACATTCCCTCCAGCACAGCTTATTTTACAAGCCATTAAACAAAAGAAAATCTAACGCATTTTCTAGCTAGTTTACTTACTAACTTTACAGGAGTTGTAAAGCTTGCATTCCTGATCTGTTCCCAGCAAAAGCATCACACAGACAGACAAAACCCTTCGTCCCCTCCCCCCCACTCCAGATTTGAAAGTATCTTGTCCCCTTATCGGTCATTTTGGGTCAGGTGTCAGCAAGGTTACCTTAGCTTCTTAACCCTTTACAGGTGAAAGGGTTTTGCCTCCAGCCAGGAGGGATTTTATAGCACTGTATACAGAAAGGTGGTTACTCTTCCCTTTATGTTTATGACAGTCTGTAAGAATGGATCCAAAGTAAATCAAAATGTGAAAAGATTTTAAAAGCAAATAAAAAGCTGATTTGTCATAATGCAATCTTTTAAGATTACTGAATAGAAGAACAGACTTAGATTATTATGGGGCTACAGACAGATTAAGCAAATTGTGGAGTTTTCCAAGTACATGATCTTTACCTATATAAGTAGCCCAGATCTCACTTACACTTGTCTCAGTTGGGAGTAATTCCACTAAGAATCTAGCCCAGTATCTCCCTGCTGTATTTTATTTCCCTTCAGAAGATCACCAAAGTTAGAGATAAAGATGTAGAGTAGTTTCCTCTTAAAATATTCCCAATTTTACCTAAAATAAGCATATGAGGTTACCTTTATTTGTAGTATCCACTTGTACTCCTTGCTACTAAATTATAAGTAAGGCTACGGTTATGTCACAGAGGTCACTGAATCCGTAACTTCCAGAGACCTCCCTGACATTTTCTGCTTTAGCCCCTGGTGCTGCGGGACCAGAGCTGGCAGTCAGCAGGGCCCCAGCAGGGTTTTTGTTTCAGCAACAGGGGTCCCCCTGCAGGGGTGGGGGTCCAGGGACAGACAGGCTCCTCAGGAGGCCCTACTCAGGGTTCCAGCGACTGGAGACAGCCTTGCAGGGGGGAGAGGGGGAAGAGAACCCTGCAGCTCCCAGCCACCACGGTGGTGGGGTAAACCATGGAGCCGCAGCAGCAAAAGACACACACAAGTCACGGCTTCCATGAGTATTTGTTTATTGCCTGTGATCTGTCTGTGACTTTTGCTAAAAATAACCTTGACAAAATCTTAGCCTTAATTATAAGGAAGACTCTGAATACTGCAAATACTATGGCTATGTACCCTTAACACTGACTGTTATCTAAAGTAACCGGTAAGATTTTAAGGGTCACCACTGTATTATAGCATGTCATCCAGTCCATCATTCTGCTGGTTCCCCAGAGTGCATGAATAACACACACAAAAGACAGATGGCTGCTTGCAGACTGATCTTTGACAACTTTTGATAGAGAGACTATGTCATTTGATGAATTACTTGGTGATTCATCATAATATAATAAAGAAGCATACACAACCATACAGTACATCTCACCTATAATTGTATAACAATGCACCACAAATTCTTTTTTGTTAAAATTGTTTGGGTCTACTTTTTTTTGGGCCAATCAGCTATTGTTTAAGAATGGATTACAAACACTAATTTACAACAGACCATTATAAATTGAGACAAATTATCAAGTATGTTTTACAGAGCATGGAAATGCCTGCATTGTAAGTGACCTTAAATAGTCTCTCTTTAAGTCCTGGTCTACACTACGAGTTTAGGTTGAATTTAGCAGTGTTAGATCGATTTAACCCTGCACCCATCCACACGACGAAGCCCTTTTTTTCAACTTAAAGGACTCTTAAAATCGATTTCCTTACTCCACCCCCGACAAGGGGATTAGCGCTGAAATCAGCCTTGCCGGGTCGAATTTGGGGTACTGTGGATGCAATTAGACGGTATTGGCCTCCAGGAGCTATCCCAGAGTGCTCCATTGTGACCGCTCTGGACAGCACTCTCAACTCAGATGCACTGGCCAGGTAGACAGAAAAGGCCCGCGAACTTTTGAATTTCAATTTCCTGTTTGGCCAGCGTGGCAAGCTGCAGGTGACCATGCAGAGCTCATCAGCAGAGGTGACCATGATGGAGTCCCAGAATCGCAAAAGAGCTCCAGCATGGACCGAACGGGAGGTACGGGATCTGATCGCTGTATGGGGAGAGGAATCCGTGATATCAGAACTATGTTCCAGTTTTCGAAATGCCAAAACATTTGTCAAAATTTCCCAGGGCATGAAGGACAGAGGCCATAACAGGGACCCGAAGCAGTGCCGCGTGAAACTTAAGGAGCTGAGGCAAGTCTACCAGAAAACCAGAGAGGCGAACGGCCGCTCCGGGTCAGAACCCAAAACATGCCGCTTCTATGATGAGGTGCATGCCATTTTAGGGGGTTCAGCCACCACTACCCCAGCTATATTGTTTGACTCCTTCAATGGAGACGGAGGCAACACGGAAGCAGGTTTTGGGGATGAGGAAGATGATGATGATGAGGTTGTAGATAGCTCACAGCAAGCAAGCGGAGAAACCGGTTTTCCCGACAGCCTGGAACGGTTTCTCACCCTGGACCCAGTACCCCCCGAACCCATCCAAGGCTGCCTCCTGGACCTGACAGGCAGAGAAGGGACCTCTGGTGATGTACCCTTTTAAATACTATACATGGTTTAAAAGCAAGCATGTTTAATGATTAATTTGCTCTGGCATTTGCGGCTCTCTTGGATGTACTCCCAAAGCCTTTGCAAAAGGTTTCTGGGGAGGGCAGCCTTATTCCATCCACCCTGGTAGGACACTTTACCACTCCAGGCCAGTAGCACGTACTTGGGAATCACTGTAGAACAAAGCATTGCAGTGTATGTTTGCTGGCGTTCAAACAACATCCGTTCTTTATCTCTCTGTGTTATCCTCAGGAGAGTGATATCATTCATGGTCACCTGGTTGAAATAGGGTGCTTTTCTTAAGGGGACATTCAGAGGTGCCCGTTCCTGCTGGGCTGTTTGCCTGTGGCTGAACAGAAATGTTCCCTGCTGTTAGCCATGGGGAGGGGGGAGGGGCTAGCCACGTGCTGGGGGAGGCAAAATGCGACCTTGTAATGAAAGCACATGTGCTATGTATGTAATGTTAACAGCAAGGTTTACCCTGAAAGAGTGTACCCATTGTTCTATAAAATGTGTTTTTTTAAATACCACTGTCCCTTTTTTTTCCTCTACCAGCTGCATGTGTTTCAAGGATCACAGGATCTTCTCCTTCCCAGAGGCTAGCGAAAATTAGAAGGCAAAAAAACCGCACTCGCAATGAAATGTTCTCTGAGCTCATGCTGTCCTCCCACACTGACAGAGCACAGACGAATGCGTGGAGGCAGACAATGTCAGAGTGCAGGAAAGCACAAAGTGACCAGAAGGAGAGGTGGTGGGCTGAAGAAGTGGCGGGCTGAAGAGAGGGCTGAAGCTGAAAGGTGGTGGCAGCGTGATGAGAGGAGGCAGGATTCAATGCTGAGGCTGCTGGAGGATCAAACTAATATGCTCCAGCGTATGGTTGAGCTGCAGGAAAGGCAGCAGGAGCACAGACCGCCGCTACAGCCCCTGTGTAACCAACCGCCCTCCTCCCCAAGTTCCGTAGCCTCCTCACCCAGACGCCCAAGAACGCGGTGGGGGGGCATCCGGCCACCCAGCCACTCCACCCCAGAGGATTGCCCAAGCAATAGAAGGCTGGCATTCAATAAGTTTTAAAGTTTTAAACTTTTAAAGTGCTGTGTGGCCTTGTCCTTCCCTCCTCCCCCACCCCTCCTGTGCTACCTTGGCAGTTATCCCCCTATTTGTGTGATGAATTAATAAAGAATGCATGAATGTGAAGCAACAATGACTTTATTGCCTCTGCAAGCGGTGATCGAAGGGAGGAGGGGAGGGTGGTTAGCTTACAGGGAAGTAGAGTGAACCAAGGGGCGGGGGGTTTCATCAAGGAGAAACAAACAGAACTTTCGCACCGTAGCCTGGCCAGTCATGACACTGGTTTTCAAAACTTCTCTGATGCGCACCGTGCCCTCCTGTGCTCTTCTAACTGCCCTGGTGTCTGGCTGCGCGTAACCAGCAGCCAGGCGATTTGCCTCAACCTCCCACCCCGCCATAAACGTCTCCCCCTTACTCTCACAGATATTGTGGAGCACACAGCAAGCAGTAATAACAGTGGGAATATTGGTTTCGCTGAGGTCTAAGCGAGTCAGTAAACTGCGCCAGCGCGCCTTTAAATGTCCAAATGCACATTCTACCACCATTCTACACTTGCTCAGCCTGTCGTTGAACAGCTCCTGACTACTGTCCAGGCTGCCTGTGTACGGCTTCATGAGCCATGGCATTAAGGGGTAGGCTGGGTCCCCAAGGATACATATAGGCATTTCAACATCCCCAGCGGTTATTTTCTGGTCTGGGAATAAAGTCCCTTCCTGCAGCTTTTGAAACAGACCAGAGTTCCTGAAGATGCGAACGTCATGTACCTTTCCCGGCCATCCCACGTTGATGTTGGTGAAATGTCCCTTGTGATCCACCAGTGCTTGCAGCACTATTGAAAAGTACCCCTTGCATTTATGTACTCGCCAGCTTGGTGCTCCGGTGCCGAGATAGGGATATGGGTTCCGTCTATGGCCCCACCACAGTTAGGAAATCCCATTGCAGCAAAGCCATCCACTATGACCTGCACATTTCCCAGGGTCACTACCCTTGATATCAGCAGATCTTTGATTGCGTTGGCTACTTGCATCACAGCAGCCCCCACAGTAGATTTGCCCACTCCAAATTGATTCCCGACTGACCGGTAGCTGTCTGGCGTTGCAAGCTTCCACAGGGCTATTGCCACTCGCTTCTCAACTGCGAGGGCTGCTCTCATCTTGGTATTCATGCGCCTTAGGGCAGGGGAAAGCAAGTCACAAGGTTCCATGAAAGTGCCCTTACGCATGCGAAAGTTTTGCAGCCACTGGGAATCGTCCCAGACCTGCAACACTATGCGGTCCCACCAGTCTGTGCTTGTTTCCCAAGCCCAGAATCAGCATTCCACCGCATGAACCTGCCCCATTAGCACCATGATGCCCGCATTGCCAGGGCCCATGCTTTGTGAGAAGTCTGTGTCCATGTCCTCATCACTCTCATCATCGTGCTGACGTTGCCTACTCGCCCGGTTTCGCTTTGCCAGGTTCTGGTGCTGCATATACTGCTGGATAATGCGTGTGGCGTTTAATGTGCTCCTAATTGCCAAAGTGATCTGAGCGGGCTCCATGCTTGCCATGGCATGGCGTCTGCACAGAAAAAAGGCACGGAACGATTGTCTGCAGTTGCCCTGATGGAGGGAGGAGCAACTGATGACATGGCTTACAGGTTGGCTTACAGGGAATTAAAATCAACAAAGGGGGTAGCTTTGCGAGAAACAGAATGGCTCCCTCAAGGATAGAACTCAAAACTGGGTTTAGCAGGCCATTGATTTCATGGAGGGAGGGAGGAGAAAATGAATACAAAACAAATCTGGTCTATTTCTTGTTTTGAGCCACTTCATCTATCTTTATACATCTTGCTGGCAGCAGACCGTGCAGTACGACTGCTAGCCATCGTCATCTCCTGGGTGCTCGGCAGAAGACGGTGCAGTATGACTGCTGGCCATCGTCTTCTGCTGGCTGCTGATTAAAAGACAGTGCACTGGCAGTAGGACTCAATCGCCATGAGATGAAACTTAAAGGGGAAATGACCTGGCTGAGTCACTCCCATGTTTGCCCAGGTGCCCCTGACCTCATCGAGGTCGGTTAAAAGAGCACCTTGGACTATGTTGACAACGGCTATCAGTCATACTGCACTGTCTGCTGCCAAAAGGCAATAAACTGCTGCTGTGTAGCAATGCAGTGCCGCATCTGCCAGCACCCAGGAGACATACGGTGACGGTTAGCTGAGCGGCCTCCATGCTTGCCGTGGTATGGCGTCTGCACAGGTAACTCAAGAAAAAGGGCGCAAAACGATTGTCTGCCCTTGCTTTCACGGAAGGAGGGAGGGAAGGGGGGCCTGACGATATGTACCCAAAACCACCCGCAACAATGTTTTAGCCCCATCAGGCACTGGGATTTCTACCCAGAATTCAAATGGGCATCAGAGACTGCAGGATAGCTACCCACAGTGCAACGCTCTGGAAGTCAACAGTTGCCTCGGTACTGTGGACACACTCCACCGACTACATGCACTTAGAGCATTTGTGTGGGGACACACACAATCGACTGTATAAAAACGCATTCTGCGAAACCGACTTCTATAAATTCGACCTAATTTCGTAGTGTAGACATACCCTAAGTTTCTTTAGGTCTCTGTTTCCTTGCACACTGATGTTTCTTCTGACACAGTACTGTTGGTTAAAATTAAGGAATCAAGGAGAAGAAATGGGATGTTTTTAAATGTTAATGCATGCATTGGATTGTGCAGTCTGAGAAATAGTTGAAGCATCAAGTACTTATTGTTTCCTCCTGTAATTTACCATTTAGATACTTTATACGCTGTCAATAAATGCAGGGTTGCAGTACATCAGAGACAGAGTTAAACCATTTGGATTTTTCATGGACTCACTGTGCAGTGAAATTCTATTACCTTTTAGTAATGCTGTCAGGATAGCTAAATCAATGTCCTGGTGTCCTTCTGATCCCATTCGAAATACTGTAATCTGTAATTTTAGAAGACAATGCCACTGTCAGAAACTTGTTCAGTTTTTGCTCACATAGAAATTAAATCAGTGCAGCAACATTTGATCTCAAAAGACCACAATGGCTGCAAAGTGATTATCTAACCATAGTCATACAGCAGTAAGTATATTAGATGGCATTAACACGAATAGGATTTCTGTGCCATATAATTCACCACAGTAAATGGCATTAATGACCATACAGCAGAACCTAGCCAGAATCTTTTGAGCAAGAACTACAGGGCCAAAATTAAGGAGGAAATTATATCCTTCTGTTAAATTAGATTTAATTTGTCAAATTTATTACTGAACTGGAGTTAATCAGGGATGAATTTGGTCCAGTAGGCTTATCAGCAGAGGACAGAATTGATGGAGAATGACCCTTGATGTTTACCATTCAAACCACAATCCTACTCAGCACCATGATTTCAGACTGCAGCAAATTAGTTACATATACTCCAGATTACACATTATAAAGCACAAATAAGATTTAGAATGAGTTCTGAGGTAGGCTTGGTCATGTGCTTTCACTATCCCAGCCATAAAATATGGAAACTTCTCAAGTGGATATGAGACTGAGTGGCTGCTGGTGACGAGGCATTAATATCTTGTAATGAACTAATACAATTCCATCACTGAATAGTGATAGAGCTGGACCCTTCTTTTAGGCCAATTAAGTCCTAGTTAAGACTTGGGTTAAACATTTACAAATGTAAACTCTCTTGCTCTCTCCTTGCTAGGAAGAGTAAAACGCTCCCCCCCCCCCGCCAGTTGTGATAAGAGCAGCAACAAGCACTTCATCTTGTGTGCCATTTATCTACTAACACATTAGATGTCATAGCATCAGTTTTATGTCAACTTTTTCCAATCCCCTGTAGCAACTGACATTGGGTACCTCCTCCAAAAAGCTGTTCATTTGTCATCACTCAGTTCCCTTGAAGGGTACCATATTGTGTTGCGACACTGATCCAAACTAAATCTCTCAACCTCTCCCTCTCTTCCCTATCTACACTGAACAACAAAACTTTTGTCTGTCAGAGGCGTTAAAACCCCTTCCCCGCAAAAGACAAAAAGTTTTGCTGCGTTGTCAGCAGGAAAGCGCTGCAAATGCGTTTGTAGGGGGTGGAAGTTTTTTGTCGGCAGGAGAGCCAATAAACAGCGGCTACACTGCATGACTTTTAGCGGCACAGCTGTAATGACACAGCCATGTTGCTAAAAGCTGTGTAGTGTAGACATAGCCTCAGTGTCACCTTGTCTCCCTGTTACAGCTCACTGACAACTCCCATGACAGTTCCTGATAGCTCACCCCCTGTTAAGGGTCCCTAATAAACAGTCCAAATTTAACTGTGGGCTCTTGCTAACTGCGATAATTGATCCTGAAATCTCTTATGCATTTGTGTAGCTCTAGGTTCAGTGCCTACAATATGAAAGTTAGTGGTATAAATTTGCCTCTTAATTCTTGAGAGTGACTATTGCTCTCATATAAAGAGAGGAGTTAAAATAGGGCTGTATTGTGGGCAGACACTGTGAAAGCTTCCTCAAGCAGTTCTGTCTATGCATCTCACTTCTGTTATTCCAGTCCTGAATTCCCAACTACTTTTGCCAAATTGACAACAATTATGTCCTTTGACGGGTGTCTTAAGAAGTGTTTAAACTCAGGTCTGTCCTTGCTGACCATTTGTTTTAAAGTGGCCAAAGGATAACTTTTGAATAGTTGTGACTCTGACGGAATTAAATGTCAGAAAGCTGGGCTACTATGTGTAGAGTCATTACAGAACCAAGACGACTTTTTTTTAACCAATGTCAGCAGTTTGTCGTCATCAAACCAGGTGGCTTCAGATTAAATTTTTCCTGAGGTAATAATTATAGATTTGAAGAAAAAAGCTTTTGGTTTGGAGCAATATTTTATACATCTATATTGAAAAATAGACCAGCAATATGTGAAAAACTGTCAGTAGCACAGATGACTTTTGTACCCTGCTGTAGTGTGATTTCTGTTGAGCTGCTGTAATTCTTAGGCTGTTAATTAAAGAACAGGGCTGCATGTTCCTGTCAGCTTTTATTTGGAATACATCTGCACCTGTCACTCCTTTGTTTTTTATCACCTCTCTCAGAGATACAACAAAAAGGATAACGAAGCCACACAAAATAATTCCTGGAAAAGACAGGGAGGTGAGAGGTAAGGGAGGCATGCCTGGGTGGGAATCAGGAGTTGCCCTAATACCCATGACTAAGGGCTGTTTTCACCTTCTCAGAGATAAAGGATGAGGTTGTCAAAGATGAACTGCACTGTTGTTTCCAGGTTTATATTTGTTTAGAGTGGCTGTGAAGAAAGAGTAGTCATAAATTAGGGATTTTTACATATGCTTTGCAGGGCTATGGATTGTTTAGATGTACATCAATTCCCACACTCACAGGGATGAGCATGTAGGGCCAAATCCTGAAATCCTTACTCAGGCAAAACTCTCACTGAGCCTGAGAGGTGCAAAGCCCCTATAACACAGACTGAAATAAATCTGAGTTACTCTTGTTGAGCACCTTTCTGAAACAGGCCATTGACTAGGAATCGACTTTAAAAGACCTGTCAAATGTTATTAAAGAGCAACCGCATGTAAAGGTCATTTGAGGAGCACACACTTCCCCATGATACTGTTGTGGCTTTTGCTTGTTTTGCATGACCAGTCTAATGGAGACCTGTCAATTAACCTGTTAAGAGTTACCATCTGACAACTTTCCTGGTGCTGACCAAAACTCTTACCAAAATGTTTACCAGTTCCTCAGAAATGGTGCTAGCAAAGTTTTAGGGTAAAATTATCAAAAGGGCTTAAAGTGATTTAAGAGTCTTCATATCTTTCCCTTTCAATGGCGCTTAGGCTTATGATGATTTTACCCTTTGCCTTTTCTTTTTTAAAGCCTACTACAAAAAACAAATAGCCTTGATTTCTGTCCTACCAGAATGAAGAGAGAGCAATCGAACATCCCTAAAAACAGGAAACATACATTCTAAAGCAGTGGTTCCCAAACTAGGGGCGCTGCTTGTTCAGGGAAAGCTCCTGGAGGGCCAGGCCAGTTTGCCTGCCACGCCCACAGGTTCGTCCGATTGCAGCTCCCAGTGGCTGTGGTTTGCCATTCTCGGTCAATGGGGGCTGCGGGAAGTGGCGCAGGCCGAGGGACGTGCTGGCCGCCCTTCCCGCAGCCCCCATTGGCCTGGAGCAGTGAACCGCGGCCAGTGAGAGCTGCGATCGGCCGAACCTGCAGATGTGGCAGGTAAACAAACTGGCCCGGCCCTCCAGGGGCTTTCCCTGAACAAGCAGCGCCCCTAGTTTGGGAACCACTGTTCTAAAGCATTTACTTACAGAGCTAAATGAAATAAATATATATTAAATTATATTTCAAGAAAGTACTATGTGCCTGTACTTGAGACTGCATTATTTTTAATTTGTTAAGAGGAAAAAAGGGAAAGATTTATAGTATTATACAGTCTGGTATTGCCATTCATCTGCTAACTGGAAAAAGCAAATTACTAGTCTAGACTCAGGATTTCACATTATGCTGACCTGGCTTGAACCTCATCTTTAAACAGTTTTCCATTCTTCCAAGCATGGCTGAAACTGTATTAGAGAGAACTTCTGTTTTATCTACTCAATTGTTTCTTTTGGCCCTGAAAAATCATGTTATTTTTCCGGTAGAAAGAGAAAAAAAAAATCTCCATTTTCCCTCTAGATTGAGCCACATTATTTTCATTTGTAGGTGGCTGTTTGAGTCTCTGTTAACCTGAGTTCTTTTTAAGAAAAAATGATTTTTGCTGTCTTTTGTTGTTGCTGCTGGCTGTTTCCATCTTCTGGAAATGCTGATACTGTTTATTAACATGCCATGACTCTTCTGGGAACTAGGTTGAGGCTAGAGAACAAGTGCAAGTTACAATCACAGCACAAGCCTTTGTTAAGTGAATGAGGGTTTGTTTTCTCTTTTTAAATCATTTTTTCTTGTCTTCACAAAAGCAAATAGCCTATTTGAGAAAAACACCTTAAGAGGAGGGCTGTCCAATAATGCAGTTAAGAGTTTCTGGACCAAATCCTATCTGACACCTGGAAACAGGAGCAAAGCCTCCCCATTTCCTACAATGGGTGGCACTAACATGCTGCAAAAGCAGTAGTAATGTGCACCTGGATGATTGCTGAGTCTAGCTCTATGCATAGTCCCCTTGCTGCATCCTTGTTTTTCTCTACGTAAAGAGCAAAACATGTATTTTCAGTCCATTTGACTTTAGTGAAGGAATAAACATCCAATCTCTATAAGAGAGAAAGCAGAGTACCTCTCATTGTGTAGGATCAACAGTGATGTTCTTTAGGTGAGGAAGCAGGAGGAAGGTGCAGGAAGGTCCCATGTGCAGCATGGAACCCAGTTTTGCAGGGATCCTTTCATGCTGCCATGGGGCAAGGGAAGGGGCGAACAATGGGACATCATACAGTGTGGATCCACTAGTCAAATTCCTATATGAGCTTGATGGGGAAGGACACAATAGCAGCCAGAGAATAAATGCAGTGCCAGACAGGATTCTCCCCTCTTTGCTCCCACAAAACCTACCATGTACATGGACCAGGATTCACCCCTAAAAATATTAGGAAAAGAAAAGTCCTGCGAAGGTCCCTTTCCCCCCTAACGTGGATTTTACTGAATGCATGTTAATGTGACCAGGATTAACCTCTAGAGACAGCTAGCTGTGTTCTAATCCTTCTGAGGAAAGAGTGCTGGGAAGTCACTGAGCCAAACCAGACTGTCACTACAAGCACAATGATCGCAGCACACTGTGATACTTGCCAGCTGTAATTATAGTCCAGCAGGATAGTAAACTCATTTTCAGGCAAGGCAGGCAGAAACCAAGTAAAAAGGGGACAGAGGAAAGGGCAGGATAGAAAGCAGTTAAGAACAAAAACTGCCCTGACTCCAGAATTCTTAGCCAAAGCACTCATTTTAAATCA